TGTCAAAATGAACCCAAATATGTATAACTATAATATATATATATTTAAAAAATAAAGTCAACAAACATACTCCAAAAAATCTAATCAATAAGGAAGATGCAATTCCAGTATATATCATTTCCTTTAATAGGACCTATTTTAAACCTGGACTTCCTAGAACTAAGATATCCAGGGGCTTAAGAAATAATTAGACATTTTGAAAAAAGTATATTTCAGGCTACATGAAATAAGTCAGACCCAGGAATAAGATGTAGATGCACTACTATAGGAAGGGGTACAAACAGAATGATTAAATCCAAGCAAAATATTAATGAAGAAGCAGAAAAAAAAGAATGAATGACAGTTGTATTATAGAGGGAGAATTGACAGAATTTACTAAATTAATAGATGTACTACCAGGAGGAAGTATATCCATTATCATTTTTTGTTTTCCTCCTATGCATGAGAAGAGCAGATATCAAGGAAAGCCAATACTTTTAGCTATACATAATCACTTTTGCAAATCCTTCAGATGACATTTTTTTTCCTAACAGAGGAAAAGAAGATTTAATATCTTGTTTTACTTTCCCAAATAAATAACTTTCAATGTGACTTAAATATCTTATTTCAGTCAATGCAAATATATGCTACTAAGATAATATAAAATCAAATTTATTCCCATAAATGAATTTTGTCTAAAAATGATCCAACATCATCATAACAAAAGAAGGAATGAGGGTTGGGGTTGTAGCTCAGTGGTAGAGCACTTGCCTAGCATGTATGAGGTACTGTATTCTTCCCACCATACATATATAAGTAAATTTAAAGGTCCACTGATCACTAAAAAAATATTTAAAAAAGAAGTAATGAACAAGTTACTTCCATTTACCTGTAACCATGTAATTCTTAAATCATCTCACAATAGGTCCCTTTAAACACCTAGAATACAATTTCAATAATAAATCAATAACAAAGTGGTCACTTTGTCTGTGCTAAACATAATACATGCTATCTCATTTAATCCCCACAATTCTACAGAGTTAATCTAGTATAGTCCTGCATCTTATATTGAAGAAGCAGTCTAACAAAGGTCAAGGCTTGCTTAAGTTTTCATAGCAAGTACAAGAGCCAGGAGTTGAAGCTATATTAGGTTGCCTTCAAAGTTCATGTTCTTCAGTCATTTCATAGAAGAAAAAATACAACTGAACAACAAATATATGGAAAAATTTTCAACATCTCTAGCAATTAGAGAAATGCAAATCAAAACTACTTTAAGATTTCATCTCACTCTAGTCATAATGGCAATTACCAAGAAAACAAGCCACAATATATGTTGGCAGGAAAAAGGTACTCTCAGACATTGGGACTGTAAATTGGTGAAACCACTCTGGAAAGCAGCACAGAGTTCCCTCAGAAAACTTGGAATGAAACCATGCCATTTGACTCAGCTATCCCACTTTTCGGTTTATACACAAAGGACTTAAAATCAGCATACCTCAGTGATGCAGCCACATCAATGTTTATAACAGCTCAGTTCACAACAGCTCAACTATGGAACCAACTTAGATGCCCTTCTACAGATGAATGGATGAAGAAAATGTGGTATATATACACAATGGAATATTACTTAGCCTTAAAGAAGAATAAAATTATGGCATTTGCCAGTAAATGCTTGGAGCTGGAGAATATCATGCTAAGTGAAATGAGCCAATCCCAAAGAACCAAAGGCTGAATGTTTTCTCTGATATGTGGATGCTGATTCACAATAAGGGGGGGTGGGCTTAGGGAAAAATAGAGGTTCTTTGGATTAGGCAGAGGGAAGTGAAGGAAGGGGAGGAGGTACAGGAGTAGGAAGGATAATGGAATGAATCAGAAATTATGACCCTATGTGAATATATGACTACATGACCAGGGTAATTCTACATCATATACAACCAGAAAAATGAGAAGTTATACTCCATTTATGGATGATGTGTCAATATGCATTCTACTGTCATATATAAGTAATTAGAACAACAACAAAAAAGTCCATGTTCCTAATCTATCACTGAAATCATATTGAAGGTTCTTGGTAGAATCTCCAAAAATTGTAACAAAATATAAGCTTCTGAAAAACAGAAACTACAAATCCACTTAGTATTTAGCTATTAACTAAAAGAACTTAACAGTAATGGAGATTCATTCTAATGAATTTAAATCTTAAATGAATGAAATCTTAATGGATTTAAATTCATGCTAATGATTTAAATCTATTTAAATCTTCCGTGCATAATTTTCATGCTTTCTATCACTGAGTTACAGTAGCAGGTGTACACAAAACGTTGCCAGAACAAGTGATGACCTAAATTTAACTCCCAGTGCTACAAGCTACTGAATGGCATTTATGAGTCATAGGCATCCAAAATGTAGATAAATGTGCTGCCCCCTAGTGATTTCAACACATCATACCTAATACTAACCCTCACAAGTCAGTAAATACTTTCATTATTAGAGAACTGAGTCAAATCTTCATTTCATTTGCCAGAAATTGTCTGACTTCTATAATAAGAGGAATAGAACAATTATTGTTTAGGCCAGAATTTGGGGTGCTTAAGAGCTTATAAATAACGTAATAGGCTAGGTGTGGTGGCGCATGCCTCTAATCCCAGAGACCAGAGAGACTGAGGCGTAGGATCACAAGGTTAAGAACAGCCTAGTCAACTTAGCAAGACCTTGTCTCACAATAAAATATAAAAAGAACTTGGGATGTTGCTTAGAGAGCACCCTGAATTTAATTTCCAGTAAAACACACACACACACACACACAAAATGGTGGCTAACAAATATTCCAACCTTGAAAGCTTACCAAATTCTTTTTTTTTTTTTTTTAAAGAGAGAGAGAGAGAATTTTAATATTTATTTTTTTTAGCTTTCGGCGGACACATCTTTGTATGTGGTGCTGAGGATCAAACCCGGGCCGCACGCATGCCAGGCGAACGCGCTACCGCTTGAGCCACATCCCCAGCCCCCTACCAAATTCTTAAGAGAGCCAGGCACTGTGGCACACTTCTGTAATTCCAGCCACTCCAGAGGTTGACAAACAAGAATTGAAAGTTAAAGGCTAGTATGGGCAACTTAGGGAAACTTTGTCTCAAAAAAAAAGTTATTAAGAGAAAATAAATTAATTTCATTAAGTAAGACAAAGCAGATTCCAAAACAATGAAGTATTCACTAAAGTCAGAATAATACTTGGTTTAGACTCACCCCTGAGCCTCTGAAGGCATTTGTGAGGCTCTCTTTATGTATGACTACTAATATAACTTGCCTGCCAATAATACAAATTAAATGTATAAAATGAATTTGGACTTGGAGAATGAGGAAAGTTAAATGACTTCTAAATAATTTTGATTAATATCAAATAAGAGATATAATAAAGCTACTCCTTACTTAGCCATAGTAGTCAGTTCTTTCAATCCAAAAGTTCGAAAATGGAAACCTGCAATATCCAAACAAGTCTTAAGAAGGAATAAAATGTAATAGCTTTGTAATTATTATTTATCTATGTACTCTCCAAGACAAAAGCAGGCAAAGGCCCTTCAATGCTGCAAGAAGCAAGCTAGTCTAATAGCCAATGACAGCTGGGTTAAGACGTGAGTGGGCTGAGGAACTTATTCCAAACCTAAGTTAACTGAATGTCTGGATTGACTATGGGTCCTGTTCTAAACATCCTATCTTTTTAGTATTTCAAACTAATAATAATTTCCTCAGAAACAACTTGAAGACTCCCCAAATTAAGCAACTGGTCCAGGGGTCTTTCTGTCTAGAGGCAATATGGACCTAAAGTAGATGTTATGGGGAAGTACCCAAGAAATCTTTATAATCTGAAGAAACTGAGTTAGACCCTATCAACCTCTAAAGAAGCTATAGATAAAAACATTTGGGGCATTCCAAATAGCATCAAATCTGAGATGCACATCCAAGACCAACTACACACCTACATAATCCTTATCATGAGGCTGGAAGAACTGCAGGTAGAACAGTAGACAAAACATTCCTAGTGTAAGACCTTAAAAGTCTCAGAGTTAGGCTTAGGGATAGGATTAGGGTTCTTTTTCCCTCCTTATATTTATAATTTTTTCCTACTTCTTTCTGTTGATTCTTACCACTTTCCTAGAGTTTCCAGTTGTTCTATTTTCATTTTACATTTGAATTATTTTAAAATTCCTTCTCTCAGGACTGCCTAGTATGCATGAAGCCCTGGGTTTGATCCCTGGGACCACCAAAAAAAACCAAGAATCCTTTTCTTAGAGTTGGGCTTGGTGACACACACCTGTAATCCCAGCAACTGAGGATGCTGGGGCAGAAAGATCACAAGTTCAAGGCCAGACTCAGCAACTTAGAAAACCCTTTCCAAATAAAAAGGGCCCTGGCACAGTAGCGCATGCCTGTAATCTCAGCAGCTTGGAATGCTGAGATAGGAGGATCACGAGTTCAAAGCCAGCCTCAGCAACAGCGAGGTGCTAAGCAACTCAGTGAGATTCTGTCTTTAAATAAAATATAAAATAGGGCTGGGAATGTGGCTCAGTGGCCGAGTGCCCCTGAGTTCAATCGCTGGTACCTCCCCACCAAAAAAAAAGGGCCAGATGTAACTCAGTGGTTGAATGACCCTGGGTTCAATCCTTAGTGTACACACACAGATTAGAACTTTTTTCTCTTGGCTCCTTCCTTCCTTCCTTCCTTCCTTCCTTCCTTCCTTCCTTCCTTCCTTCCCTCCCTCCCTCCCTCCCTCCTTCCTTCCTATTTTTAGTTGTTGATAGACCTTTATTTACTTGTATGCAGTGCTGAGAATCAAACCCAATGCCTCACATATGCCAGGCAGTGTGATACCGCTGAGCTCCTGCCCCAGCCCCTCGTGGCTATTTTAAACTAAATATCTAACTTATTGGTACAAAAGACAAATGTATTAATAACCAAGTGATTTCAAGAATATAAAAGAAGAAAATCATATACTTCATAAAAACCAAACAAAAGATCCATCTTACCAGTATCATTAGCAAGGGAATTAGGATCAGACCCCCCAAGGGTAGCTTCAAACTCCTCTTGGAGACGATATGCTCTTTGTAGCAGAGCTTCAAGTTTATGGATGAATTCAGTACTAATAATATCCTACAAAGAGAGAATAGAACAAATTAGATTCTCATGTTAAAATTCTAAACATAGAAGATGTTTACTTAATGCAGGCAAAAAGCAGGATACATAAAACTGTTAGTTAAGCATGGTGACACATGCCTGTAATGCCTATAATTCTAGTTACTCGAAAGTCTGAGGCAGAAACAAGTTGAGGCCCATGTCAGCAACTTCGTGAAACCCTGTCTCAAAAAATAAAAGGGCTAGGGATGTGGCTTAGTGGTAGAGTTCAATCCCCAGTACCGCCAAAAACCAAAATGAAAACAAACACCAGACTACTGTTAGGCAGTAAAAAGGGCGCTATAGAAATCATGAGGCCTGGATTCTAATTAATTTGGCAAAATTATCTCAGTTATCAGGGATTGAGTTTCATTATCTGTAAAATTGAGGAGTTCGACTAGATCAGGGGTTCTTGAATAAGGTCCCTGAACCAGCAGCATAATTATTAAAAATGCAAATCCCATGATCCACCTCAATTCTACAGTATTATAAACACTGGCCATAAATCTGTGTTTTAACAACTTCTCCAGGTGATTCTGATGTATGCTCAAGTTTGAGAACTACTAATCTACCTAAATGATCATTAAGGACCAATCTAGTTTTACTTCTATGTATTATTTACTTTTATGAATTATAATAGCATATAATTAAACCCAATGCACAAGACAGATTTTAAAAAGTTCCTTTAGAAATCTTATTTGCTAGGGCTGGGGGTGTGGCTCAGCGGTAGAGCACTAGCCTAGCACAGGCGAGGCCCTGGATTCGATCCTCAGCACCACGTAAAAATAAATAAATTAATTAAAGATATTGTATCCAACTACAACTAAAAAAATAAATATTAAAAAAAAAGAAATCTTATTTGCTGAGCTGGCAATAGAGCCCAGTGATAGAGCACTTGCCTAGCATGCCTGAGGTCCTGGGTTCAATCCCCAGAACTGCAAAAAAGAAAAAAAAAAAAGAACATTTCTGTCTACTTAACTATCCTAGGAAAGTAAGAAACTTGATGAATGGCAACTAACTGAACAGAAAACACCCAACAAGAAATATCCCACATAATCCCAAGAGAATGATAAAAAGGTCCAGTCGATGCCACTGAAAGCAGATACACTGAATCAACATTAAAAAAACGTTTGAGGGGCTGGGGGTGTAGCTCAGTGGTAGAGTGCTTGTCTAGCACGCATGAGGCACTGGGTTCAATCCTCAGCAACACATAAAAACAAATAAATAAAATAAAGGTACTGTGTCCAACCACATTAAAAAAAAACAGTTTGAGGACTGGAGCTGTAGTTCAGTGGCAAAGCACTCGCCTAGCATATGTGAGGCACTGGATTTGATCCTTAGCACCACATAAAAATAAATAAAATAAAGGCATTTTGTCCATCTACAGCTACAAAAAACAACAACAACAACAACAAAAAAAAACAGTTTGATTCTTCCTCATCAATAAATCACCCTTACATCTACACTTTCTTCAGCAATGGCATCCCCAGCACCCAGTTTAATGGAACCGCAGGCTTCATCTTCAGCCTGTCTATTGCGAAAGGTTAGAGCTTGTTCCCATCGACGCAATGCCTCTTCAAACAATTCCATACCTAAAAGTAGGAACACAATAATGGTAAGTGAGTAAGACCAATGTCAAAATAAAATTATTTGGGGTCTGAAATGTTTTCATAGAGTTATCTTCAATAGCACAGTCTAATGCAAATTTGGCATTAAAGAATAATTTTATACTCCTATTATTTCAGAGTAGGATTTAAATTCCCCAATATACTCTGAGTTTGCAGTTCAGTTCTAGTCAACCAAAAATCAGAAAAGAAAATGGCCAACTGAGAATTTTTTTAATATTTATTTTTTACTTGTAGTTGGACACAATATCTTTATTTTATTTATTTTTATGTGGTGCTGAGGTTTGAACCCAGGGCTTTGCACATGTCAGGCGAGCGCTCTACCACTGAGCCACTGGGGGGGTGGGAGAGGGGTGGGGGGGTGAATGTACACCTCTTTTTCTCCAAGTTAAAAAAAAAAAAAAACATGCTGGCCAAAGTTATTATGCACTTCAACCAAAACTAAAATATATTAAAACTTCAACTTTTCTGCATTAAGAAAAAATATTTAAAAGTTCCTTAAGAATCTGGACAAGTCATACTCAAGATTTTTTTAGAATATTTAGATAAAGACTACCTCTCCTCTAAAGGCATTTCTTTAATCATCTGTAGAATGCAGAACATGAAACAAAATCATCTTCACATGCAATGTAGAACTTATCCTTGTTTGATTTTTCTGTAGCAAATATCATGCTTTTGATTTTTTCATTCTAAAAATCTTATGCACTTAAAAGATAATTGTAGGTGGATTGAGTTGTAGCTTAGGGGTAGAGCACTTGCCTCACACATGTGAGGTCCTGGATTCAATCCTCAGTACCACATAAAAAAAAAGCAAGTGAATAAAATAAAGATATTGTGTACATCTATAACTAATATATATAAAAAGATAATTGTAGCCAGGCACAGTAGAGTACACCTGTGATCCTAACTACTTTGGAGGCTGAGGCAGGAGGATCCCAATTTCAAGGCCAACCTATGAAACTTAGTGAGGTTCTGTCTCAAAATAAATTATATAAAAAGGTCTGAGGGTGTACCCTCAGTGGTACCCCACCACCACCACACTCTTCAATCTCTAGTACTCATTTGGGGTAGGCAATGACCATTATATCTATCCTCTTTTCTGTAAGCTATCTAACTCTACACTATTTTTCCTTTCCTTACACTATCCCCTATCTATCTGTCCAATTATTTTGGCTGAACACAGGAAAATTACCTAAGATCAGAGTTGTCCAAAGATAAAAGATGACTCCTTGGGAAGTACTGTGGTTCCACTTCATTGTGGAACATGACCCAGACCACCATATCTCATCAGTTTTATAACAGGACGTCAAATATAAGTCACCAGACTTTTTCTTTTTTTTTTTTTTTTGGTTTTGGGGATTGAACCCAGCGGGGGATCAACCATTGAGCCACATCCCCAGTCCTTTTTTACATTTTTTTATTTTGAGACAGGGTCTCGCTAAGTTGCTGAGGCTGCTTTTCAACTCATGGTTCTCCTGCCACAGGCTGCCAAGATGCTGGGATTACAGGATATGCTACTAGACAAGTCACAGATCTTTTTAGAATGTCAGTTTTGGAAAGGGAATTTAAGCAAAAATATAGAAGTGATTAGATTAGGTGACCCACAGGGCTCCTACCAATTCAAATTTTATAATACAGCAAACCTCATTGCAGCTTATCTGGTATTGCTCTACTTTTCTTCAATTTAAGTGCTGAGTATTCTAACAGAATCTGTGACTGAAGATTTACTAGACAGAGTTATCTAGAAACAGAGTGAGCTTAATTCTTTGGTGACCTTTGGAGAAAATGGTAAAAGAAGTATTCTTCCTTACCCTTTGCAGAAACCCCCACTGTAATACCACTGGAGGTGATATAGCCTAACTATTCCAGACCATGGGAATACCCTAAAAGCACACAGCCTTTTACTAAGACAACCCTTGTACTGCTCTCCAGGGCCACATCAAAGATTTTAGGGGTTATTTTTTATTTAAAAGGAATGTGGCCTAAAATACAGTGCAAAATATTAGGGAAGGAAAAGCACTTGAATGTTCTGATTCAATAGCAGGTTCAGGGTTTTTTGTTGTTCAGGGTTTTTTGTTGTTGTTCCCTCCCTACACAAGGCTCCAGTGAGGCTCCCTAGACATACTTGTGGTCAAGTCAAGAGTAACACTGAGATGGGATACACAGAAGATTTTCTTTCTGCTTAATTTCTCTGGATATAGGAAGAATACAAATGACAGCAGATGAAGTAAAGTGTATTTGGATAGATTATTAGAGAAGAGTCATTAGGTTAGCTTAATGTAGTAGGCTTAATGATCGCTACACAAAAACAGCAAGTTCTAACCAGAATCTGTTCTACCTTATGTGAAAAAAAGTATCTTTGCAGATGTAATTAAGGTAAGGATCCTAATGAGATTGTCTTAGATTATCTGGTGGACCCTAAATTCAATTACAAGTGTCCTTTTTTTTTTTTTGGTATTGGGGATTGATCCCAGGGGTGTTTAACCACTAAGCTACATCCCTACATCCCAGGCTTTTATTATATCTTATTTAGAGACAGGGTCTCATTGAGTTGCTTAGGGCCTTGCTAAATTGCTGAGGCTGGCCTTGAACTTGCAGTCCTCCTGCCTCAGCCTCTCAAGCTGCTGAAATTACAGGTATGCTCTACCATACTTGGCACAAGTGTCCTTTTAAGAGACGTGAAGGGAGATTTAATGTCCACAGAGAATGCAACAGAAAGACCCGAGGCAGAGGTGGAGTAATGTGGCCACAAGCCAAGGAAGGCTAGCAGTCACTAGAAACTGAAAGAGACAAGGAATGAACTCTCCCATAGGCCTCCACCTTGATTTCATCTCAGTGATAAAGACTTCAGACTTCTGGCCTCCAGAACTCTGTGTGAATAAATTGCAACTATTTAAGGCACCACATTTTTAGTATTTTGTTACAGCACCATCAGGAAATTAATAAACTGGTGATGCTATATAGACTAGATTCAACAGATACAACATTTTAAAATTATAGTTGCTCTTCTTAAAACAATTCAGTTGTTTTAGTTTCAAAACTCAATATCTTAAAACTTTATCATGTTATTCTTACCCATTAAGTATAAGTTCTCAGGAGTGGTCACAGGAATATTTACAAGTTTAACATCATCTTCATCCGCTTTGTCCCAGGAATTAGAATTGCCACAAGCACAGCTATGGCAGGAATTGACACTCTGGACCTAAAAGTAAGATTAATAAAAGTTCCTTTAAAATCTCTCTAGAATACTATATTTATTTATATTTATTAATTATTTACATAAATCCTATAGCAGGGGAAACAATCAATGCAATTTTCACCTGAAGAAATAATTCTGATTATATTCAACCAAAATTAGGATTCATATGACCCTAAATATTCTGAGTCTCTGTTTGCTCAAAAATACATAAGTAGAACAATATTTTGAATATAAATCAGTTATTTCCATAAGCATGAGGCAGTTATTTTTATAATGTTATCTAGCTTATTTCCCTTTTAGAATGTTTGACAATGCTGACTCTTTGCCAAATGAGAATTAAAAGTGTGTATCATTATTGTACATACTCTTCAACCTTAGCAAGGTCCACTACATCATATTTGAATCACCTCTATGCAAATGAATTACAAATCCCTAATTCCAATTATGTTTTCTTTTGAGTAATCCAGATCTATATTTTCTTCTGCCTACTAGTTGATTCCACCTGGTTTTCTGCTGGCATCTCAAATTGACTACATCATAAAAAGAAGTTCAGCATCTTCCCACAACAAAAATTCCTCCTCCTCCCAAGTTCACTAATATTTCCAATTCCCATAATTTATCAAACAAACAACAACAACAACAACAAAAAAAAAAAAAAAACAGGAAGTCATCTCCAACAGGTCTTCCCACGTCTTTCATATCCAGTGACTAAGCATTTCTAGATCCTTTTTTCTCCTTTCTACTTCTGTTAACATGACCATAATTTAGGCACTCATAACCTACTGACTACAGGGCAGAAAATCCAGGCAGAAATCTGGGTTTATACCCCTGGCAGGAAAATGATGAGGCTGGCTGAAGAAGTACAGTAAAGCGATTCTGAAAACTTGTTATATTACTATCATGAAATTCCCCATGTCTAATTCTAGTTAAAAATAAAAGTTTCAAATTTCAATTGAAAAATTTCTAAATAGGTATTTCTGACACTGAACTATAGGTATACTCTTTATTATCCTGTTCAATTTCATAGCACAGAAAGTCTACAGGTCTTTGATCTAGATGTTCCTACTCATAAGCCTTTAAAAATTTATATTTTTACTGGGCATGGTGGTACATGCCTGTAGTATCAGGTACTAAGGAGGTTGAGGCAAGAGGATTACAAGTTTGAGGCCAGCCTCAGCAACTTAGCAAGGCCCTAAGCAAATTAGTGAGACCCTATCTTGAAAAAAAAAAAAGGACTGGGGGCGTGTATCTCAGAGCGAGCCCCTGGGTTCAATCTCTAGTACAAAAAATAAATAAATAAAAATTTTAAAGATATATAAACTTTATTCCTCACTTGTCAATCAATATTATATTAAGGATTTAGGGGCTGGGGTGGTGGCTCAGTGGTAGAGTGCCTGCCTAGCATGTGCGAGGCACTGGGTTCACTTCTCAGCACCACATATAAATAAAGAAAATAAAGGTCCATTGGACAACTAAAAAATATTTTTAAAAAATATTATATTAAGGATTTCAGGAAGTCTTCCACCTATTAGTTAATACAATATGAACGCTGCAAAAGAGGAGGTAAGGAACCCCACACTTGCCAAATACTTTTCCTTAAGTAGGCTCATCAAGGGATTTTTGTAACTTAGCACAAAGTCTGGCTACATCAATCAGCTTCTTGTATAGCATCTAATTTTGAAGCATTGCTTTCACATCAAAACCACTCTCATAGGATCCTATGAACTATAACACTCACTCAAAGAAACCTGGAACCAAACTGTCTGAAATATTTAGCCAAAAAATACTTTTACCTGCCTGAAGAAAACAAATTAACCAGCTGATTTGATAAGGTTCTTTCTATACAAAGAGCTGTTAAGTGTGTTACACTTAAACTAATATGTAAGAAGAGACATACAACAAATGTTATAATAATAATAATAATAATAATAATAATAAAAAATATGGGTTTTTACTTACAGAAGCCAAACTCTGTGCAGAACCTGAGTATTTACTGAAAAGTCCTCCATTAGCAAAGTTACAAGACTGAGATCCTTTGTCTTTGGTGGAACTTAAAGATAATGTCAAATTCTGTCTACTACTGGAACAACTTGAACCTATTAACAAACATACAAATATTTAAAGTATCAATAATTTTAATAATAATTTTCATGTAAAATTTGAAATTTATATTATATTCATTCAGAAAGCTTCTAATTTTTAAAACATACTCCATTCACCTGAACAAATTATCAAATGTACAATAGTATTAATATTTATATCTCTAATCATTTTTAAAACATTTTTAGGTGTAGATGGACACAATATCTTTATTTTATTTTTGTGTGGTGCTGAGGATCAAAACCTGTGTCTTACATGTGTAAGGTAAGTGCTCTACCACTGAGCTACAACCGCAGCCCACCATCTCTAATTTTTTTTTAATATTTATTTTTTGTTTGTAACTGGAAACGATATCTTTATTTTATTTACTTATTTTTATGTGGTGCTGAGGATCGAACCCAGGGCCTCCCACGTGCTAGGCGAGTGCTCTACTGCTGAGCCACAATCCCAGCCCCTCTAATGTTTTTAAAGCTACTAAAATTTGCTTCTGAAATTAAGAGTCAGTTCACCTAATTAATCAAGAAAATTTGAATGGTCTATTATAATCACTATGAAACCACTAACAACTATTAAACTTCAAACTGTACATTATAACAAAGCAATTCCTTTCCTGAATTATATCTAAACCTTACCCACATTGTATTACATTCAGTTTTTTATACATCTCTCTCCTCCATCCATCTATCCATTTTTCTGGGGCAGATGGCATATCTAAGTTTTTCTTAACAGACCAGGTAAGACACTTCTAGATTCAAATCCCAGTACTTTAAAATTATACAGCCTTGGGTAAATCACTTAACTTTTACTTATCTCAATTTTCCTTTATATATAAAAGCGAACAATCACAAAGAGTTTTGTAGTCCTAATTCACAGGACTGCTATAAAGTTAAATAAAGCACCAAGTATACAGCATCTGTCTAAAATCTAATAAAATTTCAATGAATGATAGCAATCACTACTGCAGTGTTCACTGTGCTTAGTGCAAATTGTTGCTCCTTATGTGCTGGACAAATGCATCATGAAAGCATATCATACACTAAATAAAAATCTGAAAATTCTAGCATGTTCAAGAAAGTATTTTTATTCCTACAATTTAGCAATATGTACCATATCTCTAACAAAAGTTATAAATTCTTTAAAATTCAGCAATTCTTCTACAACTAAAGATTCTGAGGAAATAAAAAAATGTGTGCAAAATAAGAAAACCATGAACATACCACCATGAACAACAATGGAAATGCTTAAATAGATTAGGGTACATTTGTACAAATTTAACCCAAATTATATATAAAAATGATAGTACAGATATATTTTTATAGACCTGGAAAGCTATTCTTAATACAAATTTACTTATAGATAACAGCAAATTTTATACCTCAATATAATTAGGTACAAATACAAATGGAAAGACACACTAAAGCACTATCAGTAGCTATTTCTGTGCAGTAGAATTTCAAGTGATTTTAATTTTTTCTGTTTACTTTTCTATATTTTCTAGTCTTTCTAAAATGTTTAATTACTTATAAGTTAAATATTAAGGAAAAAATTTTGAAGACTGAAATGCTGAAATCCCTGTATTTCATCCATGATTTACACAAGAAATTTCTTCTGTGGACTTGGTTCAGCTATTTTCACATACCTTTGTCTGATGCTGCTCTTTTAGTGTACTCCAGTAAGAGGTGCTCTGGTTCCCATGGTAATATTTTTCCTTTCTTCTTTCCACGTTTTCTTTTAAAGTGATGGGCCAGAAAAACTACAGATATAGCACTCACTGCAGTTACAACAAACAACTTTTTAGCTACCGGCGAAAATTTGATCTGGAAAAGACGCAGTTAGTTTGAAAAAAAATCTTTTTTATTTGTCCAATAAAAATAAAAGCATAATACTAAATTCACTCTTAATCTAAACTACTTATAAATATTACAAGGAGAATACAATTTTACTCTTTTACAAATAACAGTTTGATGTAAAGAAAATTTTTAATATAATAATTTATTACTTTTCTGAGGTTCTCAAACAAAAAATATGGCCCCAAAGTTGGGAGAACAAAATAATTCAACCCTGTGAATCTTTTTTGAGCAAGTAATAATTAAACCATGCAACTGAAGCTGTATCAAACAAGATTTTTTATTACAGAAATGATTAAAGCAAACTTCTATTTATTTATTTTTAAATATTTATTATTTTAGTTTTAGGTGGACACTATATCTTTGTTTTATTTTTATGTGGTGCTAAGGATCAAACCCAGTTCCTAATGCATGGTAGGTGAGCACTCTACCACTGAGCCATAACCCTAGCCCCTAAATCAAACTTTTAAAAAATCTGTTCTATTAGTTATACATGACAGTAGAATGCATTTTGACACATTATAAACAAATAGAGCACAACTCCTCATTCCTCTGGCTGTACATGGTGCAGCGTCACACTGGTAGTGTAGTGTAATCATACATGTATATAGGGTAATAATGTCTGTCTCATTCCATCATCCTTCCCACCCCGATATCCTTTCCCCTCCCCCCACTCCCCTCTACCCAATCCAAAGTTCATTCATTCTTCCTTACCCACCCCCCATAAATCAAACTTTTAAACTGACCCAATTTTTAAAAAATTACCTGGAAATCTAAGCCAACAAAAGTTAACTCAATTTCTAAATACCATATAAATAAGCCATTTTATTCATGAATTATTCAACAAATCAAATATTTGATACTCAAATAAGATACTCTGAATCTTACAAAGTACCAGGAATGTGCTATGAATTAAAATCTTCTTGTAATTCTATTCAACATATACTAAGTGCCTACCACTGATTAGGAAACATTTAGTATATAGAGGTCACAGATGTTGCTTCCATCAAATAGTATAATAACTCACAGTTGAGACAGATATATTGGCAAATAATTACAAAACACTGTGACAGATACAGTTGTATGAGGACTAAGTACTAATATCATATCAAGAAGTAATTAACTTTCTCTCAGGGGACAGACTCTACTATTCATCTAAAATGCAGAGAAACTATAAAATAAAGCTAACAGATTGGAACACAGCTGGAAAAAGTGTCACTACCAACCTCACAGCAAAAAAATAAAGTCAGACAAATGGCTGGTTCTCAACTTTTTGAACCCAGGTCATCCAGACAGAAAATCAAAATAGAAAAAATAGAGCTAAATTGTATCCTAGAACAAATGAACCTAACAGAACATTCCATCTGAAATATACATTTTTCTCATGAGTACATGGAACATTCTCCAGGACAGATCATGTGATAGACCAAAAAAAAAAGTCTCAACAAATCTTTAAAAATTGAAATCATATTGAGCATCTTTTCTGAGCACAATGCAATAAAACTAGTAATCAAGAACAAGAAAAACTTCAGAAAACACAAATACATGAAAATTAAACAACTTACTCTTGAATAACCAATAGACTGAGGAAGAAATAAAAAATATTTAAAATTTCCTGGGGGGAGAAATGAAGAAACAACGTAAAAACACATGGGATATAGTAGCAAAAGCAGTAAGATAGGTTTATAGATATCAATGTCTACATCAAGAAAGAGAATAGGTATCACACACTGTAATCCTAGTGACTTGGGAGGCTGAGGCAGGAGGACCTCATTCAAGGCCAGCCTGAGCAACTCAGCAAGACCGTCTCAAAATAAAAAAATAAAAATGGTTGGGGATGTGGCTCAGTGGTAGAACACCACTGGGTTCAATGCCTACTGAAAAAAAAAAAATAAAGAGAAGAAAGATCTCAGTTACAACAACAACAACAAAACAACCACCACCTACCAGCACATCTCAAGGAATAAGAAAATCAAGAACAAACCAAACCCAAAATTAGTAGAAGGAAAAAAATCAAAGATCAGACAAGAAATAAATGCAACAGAGGGAGAAAGAAAACATAAATACTAAAGAGCCATCAGAGAGCTAGTTCTTTCAAAAGATATATAAAATTGACAGACTAAGAAAAATAGAGAAAACTTAAGTTAGTGTTCCATTATCTAAGATATGGATAATATCTAAGATAATAAATATATAAAAAATTTATTTTGGCTCATAGTTTTAAGGTTTCAATATATGATCAGTTGGCCCCATTGCTTTGGGTGAAGCAGCAGATCATGGTAGCAGCAAAACCACTTACTTCATGGTCAGAGGAGTGAACCAGAACAAAGAACTGGGTCCCACAGTCCTCTTCAAAGGCATACCAAGGGCAACCAAGATGGCAAAAAGGAAGTCAAGAGACAGAGACCTCTCATATGTACTCACCTCCTAAAGGCCCTACCACCTCCCAAAAGCACCATAAGGCTAGGAAGCAAGCCTTTGCCACATGGACCTTTGAGGGATACTTATCCAATCCATAGCAATACTCCAATAAAATCTGACACATTACAACTGACAGCACAGAAATACAAAGAATCATTATAGATTATTATGAACAGTTACAAGCTAACACATTTAATAACTCAAAAGGACAAATTATGGACACATACCCTTTGGTAGGGTGTTTTTTTTTTTTTGGTAGTGCCAGGGATTGAACCCAGGGCCTGTGCATGGGAGGCAAGCCCTCTTCCAACTGAGCTATATCCCTAGCCTCATTTAGCAAGGTTAAATCATAAAGAAATACAAAAATCAGGCATGATGGTCATGCCTGTAATCCTAGCTACTCCAGAGGCTGAGTAAGGAGGATCAAAAATTCAAGGCCAGGCTGGGTAACTTAATAAGACCCTGTCTCAAAATAAAAATTAAAAAGGGTGAGGGATATAGCTCAGTGGTGGACAACTTGCCTAGAATATGTGAGGCCCTGGGTTCAATCCCCAGTACCACACACAAAAGTTTTGTTTTCACTATCATCAAGTGGGGTTCATCCCAGGGATGCAAGGATAGCTCAAAGTATATGAATCAATAAACACAATAAATCACACCAACAGATTGAAACACAGAACTCACATGATCATCTTAAGAGATGCAAAAAAAGCATCTGATAAAAGTCAACACCCCTAATGACAAAAACACTGAAGGATGTTTTGAAAGAATATATATCAACATAACAAAGGCCATACATAATAAGCCAACAGCTAATATGTACTAAAAAAAAAATTGAAAGCTTTCTAAGATCTGGAACAAGCCAAGGATAACCACTTTCACCACTTTTGTTCAATACAGTAGCCAGAACAATCAGACAGAAGAGATAAAGGGCAACCAAGTTGGCAAAAAGGAAGTCAAATTGTCACTGTTTGCAGATGATGTGATTGTATATAAAGAAAACCCCAAAGACTCCACCAAAAAACTACTAGAACCAATAAACAATTTAGAAATTTGCAGGATATAAAATCAAAATTTAAAAATCTTCAGCACTATTATATGTCAATAGCTAATTACCTGAAATAGAGATCAAGAAAGCAACCTGATTTACAAGAGCTATCAAAAAAAAAATACAAAAAACTTAAAAATAAATTTAACCAAAGAGAAAATATCTCTACAACAAAAACTATAAAACTCTGATGAGCTGGGTGCTGGTTCAAGCCTGTAATCCCAGGAAGTGTGGAGGCTGAGGCATGAGGATCACAAATTCAAAGACAGTCTCAACAACTTAGGGAGGCCCTGTCTCAAAACAAAAAAGAAAAAAGGTTGGGGATGTGGCTCAGTGGACAAAAAAAATTTTTAAAAGATGAAAAAATTTGAAGAGGACATAAAAAAGCTGAAAAACATTCTATGTTAACAAATTGGACGAATAAATATTGCTAAAATGACCATGCTACCCAAAGCAATCTACAGATTTAATGCAATAAATAAAATACCAAAGATATTCTTCACATAACTAGAAAAACAATCTTAAAATTTGTACAGAATCACAAAACCCCCAAATATCCAAAGTAATCTTGAGGAAAAGGAACTAAGCAATAAGCATTATACTACCTGACTTCAAAATATACTGCAAACCTGTCATAATCAAAACAGAATGGTTTTTGGCATTAAAAATAGACACAAAGACTAATGGAACAGAATAGAGAACCTAAAGGTAAACATGTACAATTACAGTCAGCTGTTTTTTGAAAAAAGTGCTAAGAACATACACAGAAGAAAGGACAATGTTTTCAGTGAAATGGTGCCGGGAAAACTAGGTATCCACATGCAAAGGAATGAAACTAGACCCCTATCTCTCATCAGTTACACTAGTTGCAAAAAGGCCTGAGTAAGGAGGATCAGTGCACTGAAGAGCCACTCCATTTTGCCTTGAAACTATGAAATGACTACAGAAAAACATAAGGGAAATGTTTCAGGATATTGGAATGAACAAAGGTTTTCTGGTCAAGACCTGAAAGGCATAGAACAAATGCAAAATGGGATCACATCAAACTAGAAGTTTCTGCATAGCAAAGGAAATAATCATCAGAGGGAAAAGATAATCTATGGTACAGAACAAATACTTGCAAACTAACAGCTGACAAGGGCTCATATCCAGAGTATGGAACTCAAAAACTCAGTATCACTACTGTCATGTATAACTAATTAGAACAACAACAACAAAAAAAAACCCCATCAGTATCAAAAAAAGCCAACTCAGTTAAAATATGGACAATATAGGGCTATGGGTGTATCTTAGTGGTAGAGCAGAAGCCAAGCATTCATGAAGCCCTGGACTCAATTCTCAGGACTAGAAAACAAAATATAACATGAAAGACCTAAACAGACATTTCTCAAAAGATGGCCATAATCTCAGCTACTTGGGAGTCTACTTGAGGCAGTAGGACTGCAAGTTCAGGCCAGCCTTAGCAACTTAGCAAGAACTTTCATCAGGGGGCTGGGGATGT